ACAACTTTGTGTGTGTTTACAAAGAAATGGCAATCATGTACAGGATGTTTTGTAAATAAAGTTATATTTTGCTAATATACCCTCATTTACCCCAAGTACGGACACTTTGGGGACACCCTGGTGGACTAGCGGCTAGCACGCGGTGCTCTCACGAGCCACAACCAGAGTTTCAATTCCCATTTCGCATACTAGAAAGTACACTATGACGACCAGTAACTTAAGTGAACTTAAATATCCACATTTTGGGAGACCCCATCGCTTAATTAAATCGAGGGAAGGAGTTTACTCGACCAGCCGAGTACGGTCAACTTGTTAGGGGTTTCAGTGTGGACAATCTGTAGTTTTCAGACCCGTGTATAGTATACAGGTCCCATTTTCACCATGCGAAGGGGTTTTTCCGTGCCGCCACACGTCATCGCAATCGAAGAGGATTTCAACATCCTCTTTCTGGAGTTACAGGAAGTGGCGTTTATGAGCACGCTGATAAACAAACTCAACGCTGTCACACCCGTGCGCTGATCCTTGTAGTTCTTATCCCTAACACAATCACCTGCACGCCCATCCAATGAAGCAGAGGACTTAGCCCTGTAATGACTCTGTATCCAAGTTCAACATAATAAGAGGACTTGAAATTCTTCTACAAGCATGTGGTCAATGTTTCTTCACCGCCTTTCACTAATTAAGGCTTCTAGTCAAGCTCTTACGTAAAACCATTTTGCTCTCTCAGCATAATTGCAGTTTGCTCCGTCTCGCGTTTGACAATGTCTCGCCCACGCAACCGACGCATGAGTCAAGCCTGCTTGCTCTTTTATAACCACCTGAGTTCATCTCCTGGCCTTTTGACAAGAAAAGAAAAAGAAAACAGGCGTGGTTCCTTCCCTTTTGTATACTGCTAGCGCCGTTTATTGCATTATTTCTAGTCTAAATCGAATGAAATCGTGTGTATCTGCGAGGGAGAGGCCGGGCTGCGTCTGATCAGGACGGACAAAGCGGAAGGCCTGGTCGCTATGAAAGGAGTTCCCCACTTCGGCCGGACTTCCTCGCAGTGTTTCCGAGGGCGACTGCTAGGAACGAAGAGATGAGAATGAGAGCGAAAGAAAGAGTGGAGAGAAAGAGAAAGAGAGAGGGTTGAATGGGTCTTCCCCTGGCCTCCACCCACGCTGTCGAGCTCTTGCGGCCTTCAAACAGCCTGGTTTGCATTCCACCTGCAGATACGAGTGTGATTCATCTTCCTCTATGAGGGGGTGCTCCATGTCTATAAATGGACAACGAGCTTTTGAAACGCACAGCGTGTGCGTCTGTGTGTCTGGGGGCATATTTTTATATCTTAGTGGGGACTAAGGGTAAGGAATATCTGGCAGGTTCGACATTATGGGGATGTTTTCCAGGTCCCCATAGAAAAAGTGCTTTTTTAAAAAAAAAAATAATAATAATTTAAAAAAATACAGACTGTAACTTTTATTTGAAAATTTGTATTTATTGAGGATTCGAGTTAAGAATAGCTTTAAACAGCTATATTAATAATTACGTCAATAATAAGACAGGCGGTTTACCAAATGTCCCCACAAGGATAGGACTAGATGCCTGTTTTGACCTTTTTCGATCAATGGAAAGTCCTCATAAGGATAGTAAGACAAACATGTGGGTATGTGTGCGTACACGTACGCACGAATTCATGCCTTTCAGGACATTACTTTGCATGTAAAATGCAGCCAGTGCCTCGTTAAAGCGCTCTAAAGTTTCGAACTATCGAAATCCCTATAAAAAAATTTAAAAAAAACGCGTTTCTTCCAGCACCGAGCAGACGAACTGAAACCGTCGCGCGCAGACAGCCAGGATGACTCACACCTCTTTGAAGGTCTGCTGTTTGCTCGCTGCAGTGGCAACGTTGTGCTATGAGAACAACAGATGCAGCGTGACAGGAGGAAACCCGTTCAGAGTCGCACACCGACCGCAGGCACGTCTGGGCCTGCTGACACCACGCCTCAGCCTGCAACGCTGCGCTCTGCTTTCTCCTGGAACGCTCAGAGAGAGGAAGCGCGCGCTCTCTCTCTCTCTCTCTCTCTCTCTCTCTCTCGCTCTCTGCTCACTCCTACACACACTGCAGCAGATTACAGAATGAACACAGTAGGACGCTTCACACTCTCCGTGTCCTCTCTTTCAGCCAACAGCACCGTGCAACTACAGTTCGAAACCCTTCAGGCCAGGTGAACTCTCTCCACCCAGGGACGTGCACTTTATAACACTTTCAAATGCGTCAAGAGGACAAATGCGTCATTTTCAACAATCAGAATAAGCACCAGCCACTTCTGGAGTACTCATTTGCCTACATTTACGTAAACATCTGAATAAGTGTCTACATAAGCGACCCAAAGGCGAACTCAGTCCCCATTACACACACACACACGGAAAAAGAAGTATGTATTCTATAATTAAAACAGTTTCAATTAAAGGAGCTCTTTACACGATATCAGTTACGTGAGACGGATTTGTTTATTCCCAGTTGAATCATTCTAAAATCGTTTTTTTTTTTTTTTTAAGGTGCCGCGCTGATTGTTATTAGTATTAAGATGGACACGATAGCGCTAGCTAAGCGAAGCGACTTCGTGTAAAAATATCCGTCTGTCAGAGAATCAGGGGTTAACTGAAAGGGCGGATGAAGCAGACTGAGCTCGTGCAGCTTTACTGCGATCTGCGTGAGCGGAGATGAACCAGAACAGGATGGAAATGGAAATCACGACATGGCAGAACAGTGTTAATAAAGATCACGAGAAACAAACTGAAACGCTGAGCTCTGCGTCCATTCGGCCGTACTCGGGTTAACAAAGCCTTTTATTTACTGGGACGGAAGGAGATCTATCAGATATTCATTTCCCGACATTTCTGCAACGCCGACGTCGAGCTCTCCGTAGAACACATACCGCATGGTACTGTTCCGATACTGTTGGCACCCATAAAGAACAATCCCTGTTAACCCCTACACAGCAATAGATAAAAATAATATTAAATAATAAATAAGATTTGTCAGGAGTACATAAAATCAGATTATACCACAGAGCTGCTGAGCTCTGATTGGTCAGAAGGTGTTGATTCATTTTCAAGAACAGTAGCTATGACAGTAGCGCTCATTCTGATACGTTATCGTTTCTATAGTAACAACGTGTACGGGCATTTTTATGCCAGACGCTCCACATGAACACGTTTTTTAAAAAACGAGGTAATTGTTCACATGGTGACGTTTTTGGTATGCTCACCTTTTATCGCCCAGTGTCACAAACGACTCGTTCAATGATCCGTTCTAAACTCCTCCTTTCAGACAGCATACTCTGCACTGATTGGTCAGATGTCCCGGTCTGTCGTGATTGGTCTACCGCTGTCAGCGAGCAGCCAATGAAGACCAGAGGCGGGGTTTTTTTTGTTTCAAGCCTACGTAGGTTAGTACAGGAAGTAAAGTCTGGAATCACTAACGAGTCGATCCAGCTGTTCAGAATCGGTTCCTTCTTTTGGGAGTCGATAACCCCGTTTGCTTTGATTTTTTGGAACTTCGCAGACGTTTTTACTTTTTACTTCACGCTACATGGAAGGTCATATTTGAAAACCCATAATAGGTGCACTTTAATAACTTCGAGAGAGCAAAACGAGAAGCTGGTAACAAAGAGGCTTATAGCTGCTGGGACGTTAGTGAAACATGAACTAGCTTTCTTCCGTTGTTAGGAGTGACAACTTTTTGTGTTATGAGAGGAATAAAATACTACAGAATATGCCGCTATTGGAAAACAATCAATTACAGGATTGCACCCGTAACTCCACTTCATGTCAGGACACATGGTAAATAGTAACTGGCACACTTATATAGCGCTTTTATCCAAAGCGTGTCTCATTCAGCCATTCACACACACACACTCATACACACCAGTGGTAGCAGAGCTGCCATGCAAGGCGCCAACTTCCCATCGGGAGCAACTCGGGATTCAGCGTCTTGCCCAAGGACACTCCGGCATGTGGAGTCACGTGGGCCGGGAATCGAACCGCCAACCCTACGATTAGTGGACGACCCACTCTACCACCTGAGTCACAGCCGCCCACATCACACCACCCTGTCGTTGATTAGTTTCCTATAACAGCACACCCGTGAGGTGTTTCACTTCTTTAAAAATTCAGATCCAAAATTTCAAGCCAAGTATTACCAATATACCAAAGTAAGTAAATAAATAAACAAATAAATAAACGATGTTCAGTATCCGATGAGGGCAACATTCCTTTCTGTGTGTTTTGGCTCTGTACCTTTGGTGTTTGAAATCTGTCTACGAGGATGAAGTGTTAAATGTCAACTTAATTTAATCCGAGGACACTTACGTCTACACCGGATGTACCATTTCAGAATCCGCCCCCAGATGGATGGCCATTTCATCCCAAATACACTCGCTCTACACACTGATGATGAACAGCTCTTGTTTTAGAAGCCCTTGACGACCAGAATATACACACGGGCTGCTCACATCCCCAAAGACTTGATCTTTAAAACTTCTTAGAAATTACAGCCTGTCTATTTTTTTTTTTACTGTTTTTTAAACATTCAATGAATCACGTCCATAAAATGTTTTAAAAAAAAGAAATAAATACAAAATGAAAGCCAAGAAAGGTCTTGACCTCCTCAGATCGACTATCATATAACTGCATACTGGAATTCCATACAAAGCCATAGGAAAGATTTTACAATAGACTTTACATTTTATTTAGACCACAGTGCTGCTCGATGCTCGAATCTGATTGGTCAGTTGGTGCTGACAGACTTTTTATCACAGCAGCTCTGATAGTAGCTCTGACTATGCTCCTTCTAACATGTAATCATTTCTATAGTAGCAACCGATTCACAGGAACTTGTACGGTGGACGAAGACGAAGAAGTCTTTATTCGTCATGTATACATTACAGCACACTGGATCTTTTTATACGGCAGAGTGTTAAGGGCCTTGCTCAAGGGCCCGACAGTGCCATTTTTGCGGTGCAGGGGCTTGAACCCCCGACCTTCTGATCAGCAACCCAGAGCCTAAACCGTTGAGGCACCACTGCCCTAAATAAAAAAAAATCCATTTATGTGGATTAAGGGGTGTAATTGTTGTATTTGTAGTTTTCTGTAATGAGATGTTTATTTTGCATTTAGGTAAGGAGTCTCCAGTGTCAGCGCTTGTAACAATCAGATGTAAAACTGTTGGCTACAATGCCGTCATATACGAGACACAAAGTGCCGTTATAGGAAAAGAACCCATTTCCTGGTGGGAACAGAAACGTCGCTCGTTGTATTGCCCCCCCCCGATAAAATGCTTCATTCCTTCTTAATCGATGCATACCGCGTCGACAAGTCCATCATTTACTCTGCTGGTATACCTAATAAACTGGCAACCGAGTGTATATTTGTATTTAAAACCGAGTTCAACAACAGCGGTCAACAGATCGATAATTGACCACAAAACAAAGCAGTAATTGTATATTTTAAAGACTCTGATTAGCCTTAGCGTTGCGGTCAGAATGGATTTTTTTCTTTTTTAACTCAGGGGGGGGGGGGTTTCTAAATCCAGCAGTGCTTCTCCCATTTTAGCAGCATAATAAGATCATGCACAGCCTCAAGCTAGCGAGAAGGATCGCCCCGATAACTCCCACAAGGCCTGGTTTTTCCATTCGGGTGATGATGTGGCTCGACTGCAAGCTTCACGTACAGTTTAGAGAAAAACCTCAGTGTTGTTCTCGAGGACAGCTTTGATTTCGGTGCGGTTATAAATATAGAAGCAGAGGGAATTTACCCCTAACTGACCTACCAAACTTGTGAGGTCAGGATTTCCTCTAACAGAGAGGAACGAAAGACACACAGAGAGAGCGAGAGAGCGAGAATGGAGAAAATTGATCGTCAGGACTCCCCCACCCCCTCACCCCCCACCCCCCGAAACAAAGCTAAATATTTGTGACGTGTTCCTGATCTCGAAAGCTTTCAAACTGCCGCAAAACATAAAACGTGCTTTCAAAACAAAGCCGAGCAGGCTCGCAATCTTTCCACGGTGTGGAAGAGGTTTCAAACGACAACAACTAGCGTGAAAAATCCTGACATTTTGGGGTGGGGGGGGGGGCGGTTGGGGGCGACTTTGGAGGACACGGAAAAGACAATCGGACTTTCGCCGCGCTGCTGAACTTCGTGATTCATCCACATCCACATCCACATCCTGCCCATGCAAACGTTAACAGCTACACCGCCTACACGTAGCGTTCTTCCACGCCGAACCCCGTCCCGGCGGCATCCCTCGTCCCGCACGATCTCAAAACCCTCGAGTCGAGTCGAATCTTTTTGCCTATTTTCTTGGCACGCGCATGGAAATTTGCGTCACGTGACCACTAGAGATTGACGCAACAACAAAACACGATTTACATGGAAAACCAGAGAGCTACACGCAACATTCGGACGTGACCGGGGCCACCCAGAGCAGCACGACGCACAAAACCGGTTTACATCGGGTTTCTTTGTGTGTGTGTGTGTGTGTGTGTTATTGTGGCTCAAAGAGTTCCCGAACAACGTGATATCAAGTTGAGGGAGAAGAGAACGGGTTTAACAGGAACACCTCACCCTGTGGGAAAGCTACTGTTCCCCGCCGTGTGCTCGCCTGCCACAAAAAGTCAAAGCGGTACAGACCAACACATAGAAAGAAAAAAAGAAAGCATTATATAACACCACACTAGAACTCTAGCTACATAATATATGAAAATACATCACGGATGATCAACAACAACAAAGCTCAGTCTTTGACGTTGTGTTATATTGTATACAGTCAAACACTTGGTTCCTGGATCATTTAAAAATCACCAGGCTGACATTTCAGGGTTTTCTTTCTTTCTTTCTTTCTTTATTTATTTATTTCCCATTCGTGAGCCAAAACAATAAAGCCTGGTGACAGAATGGGTTTGATAACTGCTATAACATAAGTGAGAACAGGAAGTGACACGCGTTACAGCCGTTCCACGGCCGTTAAATATATATATACCGATAAATGAGCAATCGTTCTTTCATCCATAAAGGAAATGCCATCGTTGGCAGATCGTGAGAGGTGTGAGCGGTGTGAGAGGAACAGACCGCCCGAGGATGGAAAGTAGCAGTAACTCTGCATCACACGACCCGGGCTTTGATGATTGACTCTTTTCCTTTTTAGACATTTTACGCCGTGATTTTGTCTGGATCGTCTCAAACCCGTTTAAGTGCCGGATGGTTTCGGGTACCGTGTGTGTACGGAAATGTCATGTGTTACTCTGTTACGTGTGGGAAAATAATCAAAACATCAACAACAACAACAACAAGATCAAAGTGTATATATGAGAAATACTTTTCTAACACAGAAGGAGCTTTTTGTTTGTTTGTTTGTTTGATCATAATGTATTGAAAATAAAAAAGGTACTGGTTCCTCGTCTCGGTCATGGATGGTACGTCTTCAGTACCTGTGTGTGTGTGTGTGTGTGTGTGTGTGTGTGTGTTTACGCATTTTAAAAATATCTGGAGGCACGTTATTAGATCTTCCCATTTGGTCCACATTGTGCAGCAAGTAGAAGATCCATCCTACAGGCACAAAAGGTACTAAAGTACCCTTTAGAGTACCGTGTGAGCAGTTGTTGGTACTTGAAGAGTTTTAGAAGAGATCTGTGGATTTTAGATCTACTTTTGGATCAATAAAGCCCAGTGAGGTCTTACAGAAACAGTCCAGAGTGCAGCACTTAGTGTTATTCTGCGCACTGTGAAACGAGTCCAGAGAGCAGATCAATGCACCAAAATCAGTACTTCAGTACTCCACACACACACACACACATACACAGGCGCGCGCGCAGCACTTCCCCCGGACATTTCAGACAGGACAAGCATTCAGAAGCCGAGCTTGGTGTTTACCTGGACCTCCTGGAGAATCGTGATGGTGGTGCTGAGAAGCTGAGAAGCAGAGAGTCGGTGAGCGCGCGCGCTGTAACGCTCCGGTATATCCGCCTGCGCGCGCACACACACACACACACACCGAGACCGAGGCGCGCGCTTGAGTTCTGTTCTCCACCGGAACACCGAGTTCAGAGCGTCGACACTGCCGAGGGAGAGAGTGTGTGAGTGTGTGTGTGTGAGTGTTTTGGTGGCGCTCCGTCTTCGTTTAGAATGGCGGTAAAGCGGTCTGTCAAACCCGCCCTAAGTGACTGACTAACTACCAAACACTCCCCCTGTGTGTGTGGAGCACCGCCTAGAGAGAGAGAGAGAGAGAGAGAGAGAGAGAGAGATCCAAACAGAGAGAGAAAGAGATACAAACAGAGAGGGGGGCAAACAGAGAGGGGGGGCAAACAGAGGGGGGGGCAAACAGAGAGGGGGGGGCAAACAGAGAGGGGGGGCAAACAGAGAGAGGGGGGGACATGCAGAGAGAGGGAGGGGGAGACAAACGAGAGAGAGAGAAGACAAGAGAGAGAGAGATACAAACAGAGAGAGAAAGAGATACAAACAGAGAGAAGAGGGGGACAAACAGAGAGAGGGGGGACAAACAGAAAGAGGGGGGACAAACAGAAAGAGAGGGGGGACAAACAGAGAGGGGGAGCAAACAGAGAGGGGGGGCAAACAGAGAGGGGGGGCAAACACAGAGGGGGGAGACAAACAGCGAGAGGGAGGGGGGGAGATAAACGAGAGAGAGAGAGAGAGAGAGAGAGAGAGAGAGAGATACAAACAGAGAGAGAAAGAGATACAAACAGAGAGAGAGGGGGGACAAACAGAGAGAGAGAGGGAGGGGGAGACAAACAGAGAGAGAGAGGGAGGGGAGACAAACAGAGAGAGAGAGGGAGGGGAGACAAACAGAGAGAGAGAGATACAAACAGAGAGAGAAAGAGATACAAACAGAGAGGGGGGGACAAACAGAGGAGGGGGGACAAACAGAGAGGGGGGACAAACAGAGAGGGGGGCAAACAGAGGGGGGCAAACAGAGAGAGGGGGGGCAAACAGAGAGAGAGAGATACAAACAGAGAGAGCGGGGGAGACAAACAGAGAGAGAGAGATACAAACAGAGAGGGGGAGACAAACACAGAGAGAGAGAGATACAAACAGAGAGGAAAGAGATACAAACAGAGAGAGGGGGGACAAACAACAAGAGGGGGGGGACAAACAGAGAGGGGGGGACAAACAGAGAGAGGGGGGACAAACGAGAGAGGGGGGGACAAACGGGGGGCAAACAGAGAGAGAGAGAGATACAAACAGAGACAGAGGGGGAGACAAACAGAGAGAGGGAGGGGAGACAAACAGAGAGAGAGAAAAAAAAAAAAAAAAAAGAGAGAGAGATACAAACAGAGAGAGAGGGGGGACAAACAGGGGGCAAACAGAGAGAGAAGAGAGATACAAACAGAGACAGAGGGGGAGACAAACAGAGAGGAGGGAGGGGGGAGACAAACAAGAGAGAAAGAGAGAGAGAGAGAGAGAGAATACAAACAGAGAGAGGGGGGACAAACGGGGGCAAACAGAGAGAGATACAAACAGAGACAGAGGGGGGGAGACAAACAGAGAGAGGGAGGGGGGAGACAAACAGAGAGAGAGAAAGAGAGAGAAAAAAAAGAGAGAGATACAAACAGAGAGAGCGGGAGACAAACAGAGAGAGAGAGATACAAACAGAGAGGGGAGACAAACACAGAGAGAGAGATACAAACAAAGAGGGGAGACAAACAGAGAGAGAGATACAAACAGAGGGGGGACAAACAAGAGAGAGAGATACAAGCAGAGGGGGGAGACAAACAAGAGAGAAAGAGATACATACAGAGACAGAGGGGGGAGACAAACAGAGAGAGAAAGAGATACAAACAGAGACAGATAGAGGGAGACAAACAGAGAGAGGGGGGGCAAAACAGAGAGAGAGGGGGGGCAAACAGAGAGAAAGAGATACAAACAGAGAGAGGGGGGAGACAAACAGAGAGAGAGAGATACAAACAGAGAGAGCGGGGAGACAAACACAGAGAGAGAGATACAAACAGAGAGGGGCAAACACAGAGAGAGATACAAACAGAGAGGGGGCAAACAGAGAGCAAACAGGGGG